TCTCCACGCTCGATTACCCCTCTGACGAAATGCAGCCTCACATCTATGTGCTTGGTTCGCTCATGATAGGCTGAGTTCTTCGACAGGTGTATTGCACTTTGACTATCACATTTAACAGTGATACCTTGACCTTGAAGTTTCAGCTCCTTCGCAAAACCTTCAAGCCACAATGCTTCTTTCACAGCTTCAGTTAGGGCAATATATTCTGCTTCAGTAGTTGATAAGGCAACAACCTTCTGAAGAGTTGCTTTCCAACTAATTGCTGTACCAAACATAGTGAAAACATATCCAGAAATAGATTTTCTGGAATCCATACAGCCTGCATAATCAGAGTCAACATAGCCTTCGACAGCTGCTTTACTATCTTCACCCAAGGCTCCACCATAAATTAAGACTCTGTTCAGAGACCCATTTATGTACCTTAGAATCCACTTTAACGCTTGCCAGTGAGCCTTTCCAGGATTCACCATGTACCTGCTTACAAGACTTACTGCATATGCTATGTCGGGTCTAGTACAGACCATAGCATACATCAAAGAACCAACTATATTAGCATATGGGATGCTGTTCATATAGGTTCTTTCGACATCAGTACTGGGACATTGATCAATGCTCAACTTGAATTGAGGGTTTGTTGGAGTCACAACAGGCTTTGAATTCGACATACCAAACTTGTCAAGAATCTTTCGTAGGTATGCCTCTTGAGATAAGCATAATTTCAACTGCTTTCTATCTCTTCGAATGTCAATTCCAAGAATCCTAGATGCAGCTCCCAGATCCTTCATGTCGAACTCCTTATTGAGTTCAGCCTTCACCCTCATTACATCTTCGACATTGTTGCTTGCTATCAGAATATCATCAACATAAAGCAACAAAATAACAAATGAATTTTCAGGTCGAAATCTGGAGTAAACACAGTGGTCGAACTGACTTCTAATGAAACCTATGTGTTCCATGAACTTGTCGAATCTCTTATTCCACTGTCGAGGAGATTGTTTAAGTCCATATAAAGATTTCTTCAGTTTGCACACATAATCATCTTTCCCCTTTTCGACATACCCTTCAGGTTGCCTCATCAGGATCGTTTCATCTAAGTCACCATACAAGAACGCAGTCTTCACATCCATTTGTTCCAGTTCAAGGTCGAACTGAGCCACCATGGCAAGCAACATTCGAATGGATCTGTGCTTCACAACAGGGGAAAATACATCATTGAAGTCGACACCTTCTTTCTGAGTGAAACCCCTTGCGACTAATCTTGCCTTGTACCTCTTCGACATTACTCCTTCAATTCCTTCCTTAACTTTGAAAATCCACTTACAGCTGACTAACCTTGCCCCAACAGGTTTCTCGATTAGTTCCCAAGTGTGATTATCATGAAGATATTTCATCTCATCATGCATGGCCTTTAGCCATTCAGTCTTCATTCGACTCCTTATAGCTTCCTTATAATCTCTAGGTTCTTCGTCTAGAACTTCACTTGCAGAGATTAAGGCATAAGCTACAAGATCTGCATATCCAAGTCTCTGAGGTGGTTTTATGACTCTTCTTTGCCTATCTCTCGACAATAGGTAGTCATCAACAGTTTCCTCAACATCATCAGAATCTTCTGTTTCTTCTTCGACTTCATCTGGGATACGCATTTCAGCATCAACATGCTCCACCTCAACAGGAATCTCTACCTGTTCCAGCTCTTCGTCAACATCATCAGTTTTCTTGAAAACCATTTCAGTTTCATTGAAAACTACATCTCGACTGGTGATACACCTCCTGTGACCTGGCTCTAGGCACCATAGCCTATAAGCTTTCACTCCTTCAGGGTATCCCATAAACATGCATTTCAGAGCTCTAGGTTCGACCTTGTCTTGCCTAATGTGAGCATAGGCTACACAGCCAAATACTCTTAGTTTGTCGAGATCTGGTGGATGTCCCGACCAAACTTCTTCAGGTGTCTTCATATCTAACGCTGTCGAAGGACATCTGTTTATCAGATATGCTGCTGTCGAAACAGCCTCAGCCCAAAACACCTTCTTTAATCCCGCACTAGTCAACATGCATCTAACTCTCTCCAAAATAGTTCGATTAAACCTTTCAGCCAAACCATTTTGTTGTGGAGTACCTGCGGTAGTTCTGTGCCTTGCAATACCAGAGGCAACACAAAAACTGTCGAACGCCTCATTGCAAAACTCAAGGCCATTGTCGGTTCTCAACCTCTTTACCTTTCTGCCAGTTTGATTTTCGACAAGAGTCTTCCAACTTTTGAAATTCTCAAAAGTTTCATCCTTAGTCTTCTGGATGAATACCCATAACTTTCTGGAATTGTCATCTACTATGGATAGAAAATACTTTGCTCCTGAATGTGATGGACACCTTGCAGGCCCCCAAAGATCAGCATGGATGTAATCAAGGGATCCATGTGTTCTTTGTTTGCCTTTGTTGAACTTCATTCTACAGGACTTTCCAAGTACACAGGGTTCACAAAACTTCAGCTTTTCGACTTTATCTCCACCAAGCAGATTTTGTTTCCCTAATTCGACCAGACCCCTTTCACTGACATGGCCCAATCTCATGTGCCAAATTTCTGTCTTCGACAAAGGTTTCGTGGATGCAACATTTGTCGAACCACTTACAACTTCAGCCTCAAGGGTATACAAGCCTTGTTTCTTCACGCCTCTCAAGACTTCCTTCGACCCTTTCATGACTCTCAGGATACTTTTCTCTCCTTGAAACACATATCCTTTCTTGTCGAATTCACCAAGAGAGATCAAATTTCTCTTCAAATCAGGTACATACCTGACTTCAGTCAACAATCTTATTGACTCATCATGGAGCTTGAATCTCACAGATCCAACGCCTGCAATCTTGCAAGCTTTGTTGTTTCCCAGCAATACAGATCCACCATCTTGATCACATAAGTCCTCGAACAAGTCTTTGTTTGGAGTCATGTGCCAAGTGCATCCAGAATCCATAATCCACTCCTTCGACGAGTTGTTGCTTGAAACCACAAGAACATCAGATGATTCGAAATCATCTTGGACAATAGCTGCATTGCCATTATCCTTACCTCCATGATCTTTCAGGCGTTCAGGGCACACCTTTCTTGTGTGACCTACTTTCTTACAGTGATAGCATCTAATACCAGATGCATCACCACTATAAGACTTCGACTGATTTTTACCTTTCCTCTTGTCGAATTTTCCTTTAACAGCCAAACCTTCACCAACCGTCGAAGGTTTATGCTCCTTACGTTCGTTCAAGTCCTTAGAGTACAAAGCTGATTGAACTTCTTCAAAGGTCAGGGACTCTCTTCCATACAAGAGGGTTTCTTTGAAGTGAGCATGTGATCTGGGCAAAGCGCACAACAATAACAGCGCTTGATCTTCATCATCAATCTTTACATCAATATTTTCAAGATCAAGAATCAGCTTGTTGAACATATCCAACTGCTCAGCCAACACTTTGTCTTCAATCATCTTGAATGAATACAAAGCTTGCTTCAGGTAGAGTCGATTTACCAGAGATTTGGTCATATACAAACTTTCAAGTTTCACCCATAACCCTGATGCCGTCGTCTCCTTTGATACCTGTCGAAGAACCTTATCACCAAGGCTCAACAAAATTGCGCTGTGTGCTTTCTCGATCATGGCCGTCCTCTCTCTTTCTGTTAGCGCAGCGTCCATCGCCGTCGCTCCCTTCAACGCTTCCAAACAACCCTGCTGAACCAGTAGGGCTTTCATCTTCAAGCGCCATAGACCGAAATCATTCACTCCGGTGAACTTTTCAATCTCATACTTTGTTGAAGGCATCTTCTCCACGCTCACCGCACCAATTTGTTGTGAATTCAATGCCAATAACAAAGTATCGAATAAGGAAGAATAAAGAACAAGGAAAAAAAGAAGAACACAAGAATTGGTTATAACTGCTATTCTTTACTTTCTCTTTGGAAACAAGATTACAAGTTTACAAGAATAACAAATAACCCTCTCACCCTAAAATAGGATTTGCTGTGTTGCAATGATGAGAGACTAGTATGCTATTTATAATAAAACCTAACATACTAACTAATGGGCTTTTTCCACAAGGCCCATTATACAAGCTAACTTAATAATCAAGCTAACTTAACAAATTAGGGTTTAAACACTAAAACCTAATTTAACAAGCATTCTTCGACAAATACAAGCTAGACCCTTCTTCGACTACAGCATGTACTTCGATCATACTAGAGTTCGATCCAAAATCCCACAATTATATTAAAAATGTTAAATAAATTAAAAAATAACTATTATTTAAAAAGGAACAAAATTTATTAATTAACTTCTTAAATATATATCAAAAGTATAAAAAAATCCACATTTCATTATTGTTTTTTGAATACTTTATTTTACTTTTTAATCTCTATAAATTTTTTAAACGTTATTATTTCTATTTTTTTTTAAAATATTGTATTAGAATGTCAAACAACACTTATTATAAAAAGAAAATGAGTAATGTATTGAATGGGTAAAAAAAATTTATATTATCCACCCATCACGACTATAAATCCAATCAAATCAATCTATTATTTTTAAAAAATTTATATGATATAATAAAATAATATATTTTTTTAATGACAGTAAAAACTTTTTTATATTGTGAGTGTATCTCATTTAAACTCTATTATAAAATAGAAAAATTATTTTTTCTAATTACATAAACTAATTAATATTATTTATATTATTTTTTCTTATTACATATATTATTTTTTCTTATTACATAAACTATTTAATATTATTTATGTTATTTGTCTGAACTTGAATATTTATTATAATGTATATTTTCTTTTTTGTATATAAATTCAAAGAATGAATTTTATTAAAATATTATTATTCTACATTTCATATATATTTTTTAAAACTGATGTGAAATTGCTTAATTTTTAAACGTGAATCCCAATTCGCCGCAACACGAAGGGGTTTAGCTTTTAATCTTGAAATCTTGCCCTAAAACCCTAAAAATCGAGCATGGACAAAGGTGTTCCTAATCCTGTATGCGCCGAAGAAGCTCTTGATCTGCTAAATTGCGTAGCGGATTCTCCGTCGTATGATCAAGATAAATGTCTCGCCCTTTTGAATTCGTTGCGCGAGTGCGTTCTCGCCAAGGTACTCCTTTTCCTCTCTGTTACTTCACTTCCTTTAAATTCCTTACATTCTTATAGCACCATTTCATGGTTTTTTGAATAGGATCTTGCTAACTGATGTTCATCAAAGAAAATCAATAAATGGGAATTCTTCATTGATTCCCTTAAGAACACTAGTTAGAATTTCCCTTTTAAATATCGATGATATAGAGAATCTAAGAATCCCATGGTCAATTCAAGGTCTTTTTAGCTATGGAAGTTTGATGAAGTACTGGATTTGCCTTATTTGACCTTACCCCTCTATGATAGTTAGCTGGTATGGCATCATGTTAATCACATTTGATTTGGTATGTAAAACATATTGAAAACACTTTAGTCAGAATGCATTATTTGTTGTCATTGTCCTCACCAGATGCCATACTGACATCAATTTGAGACTTAACAGTTAGTGGCTTTGCCTTTCTTTTCCCTTCCCGCTCAATTGCTTGATATCATTGAGTTCATGTATGCAGAATTGCAGATGTATGAACAAAGTTGTGTCATTTTTGTGTTTTCATCTGTTTCAGTTGAGTTTGTTTTGTTTTCTGATTCAACAGAAAGAACAGAGACGTGTCATTTTTGTGTTTTCATCTGTTTTAGTTGAATTTGTTTTGTTTTCTGATTCAACAGAAAGTGAAGAAATTTTCTCTAGCTGGCCAGGAACAACAAGAAACTAATCCAAGTAGCAAGAAGGCTTAATTGTGTATTGGTGTCATAGTTTCATGTATCATCTACTCCCAGGAACCTCTTTCATTTTTACCATTTGATCACTGTTTTTGATGAGCACAAGCTGTATACTTTCAACGAACCTAAAATAATTCAGATTTTGATAATTTTTTCGGTTCCTAGTGTAGTGTGGAATGGAAAGGTGAAATTGATGGTATGCACCTTTCATCACTTGATGTTATGTTTAATTTCTTCTCACCTTAATCATAATAGGTAGCCTAGGATTATGCCAAATATTTTCAGTTTACCTCATACTGCTTATACATACATAACTTGCTTAAACATACACATAACTCTTTGCAAGTTGAAGTTAAATTATGATTTGTTCCAATACAATATACTAGTATGTTCTTTTTGTTAAATTTGCTTCGGATCTCAAACAAACTCCAACATCTCAACTATATATTCAACACTCACTCTCATGCCTAGCATGAGCCTAGGTTAAAGGTCGATATTGCAATCCTTAATCTGGTTTTAGTCCTTAATCCAACTCTAATACTATGTTAAACATATTTGGATCTCAACTCCAAAAATGATAAGTTGTACACACATATTTTTGCATTTATCATTCCAAAGTCCAAAAGCCATAATGTGGAACACAAATCCATATTGTAACACTTTTTTTCTTCTTTTGGTGGATTAGACAATGTACAATGTGTTTCTAACTACTGTCTTGCTGCTATTGTCTCAATTGTACTTAATTGTAACCTATAAGAAGCTCAACTAGACTACTAGAGTTTGTCAATGTCACCATCATGTTAGGCAGCATGTGTTGTCAAAAATTTTAGGAACTAAAACTTAGATGGCCCATAAACCCATATCTTGCTGCTATATCCTGCAGCTGGTTGTATTTCTGGTTTAATGAATCATACTCAACTTTCATAATCCTCTATTCATTGACGAATGGTGGTTGTTCACATTCACAAATTTGATATTAAATCACCAGATAAAAATCACATTGACGAGATTGTAATAATAATAATAAAAATAAATAATAATAATAATAATAATACATAGATCCATGGTCACTTACACAAATGAGACATTGCTACCAAGCTACAATACAGCCTCTCTAAACTCACGCATCACATTCTTTGATTCACTAGAAAAACAAACATTTCAAAGCACCTCTCAATCTATATCATTATTATTACATTACATATACCTTTCTCCTCCGCGTTCTACAAACACATTCATTATTAATCATAAATTAAAAAAAAAACATCTCTCTCACACATCATCAAGATGCAATTCACAAGGCAGATGAAAAATCCGCCGAATGAATGATGTAGGTGAGCACCAGCGCCAACAACATCAACAAATAAGCTATTCCTTGATCAACCGATGAACCTAAACAACAAAGAAATGAAGAATTAATCCGAAATAAAAACAATGCAAGTGCAGATCTAGGAAAATAGATCTGGTAAATTAGATCTGAGAAGAAAAATAGAGAAAAATGTTACCGTCGCTGGTAGGAGCAGGTGCAGGGGAAGGAGATTGAGCGTGAACAGCGGCGGGGAAGGAAAGAGCGAAAATGAGAGTGGCGACGATAGCCACAATTCCGAATCCGAACGAATGTTTTGAGGAAACCATATCTGAAAATGTGAATATAGTAATGTGTTTGATAGATAGGTTATAGATTTGTGTACTTTTGTGTTTCTCTGCGGCGTCTCTGTTGAAAACGGACGAGGCGCGCAGAGAGAGAAATGATGAGGGAGAGAGAGAGGGGGAGGAACGACGGAGAGTGATGAGCGGTTTAAAAGGTGGTTATGGGAGGTGTGTGAGGGAGAGAGAAAAGAGGAGAGAGGCAACCGGTTAAACCGGTAAAGAAGGAAAATGCCATTTTTGAATTAAGTGGTGGGGTTGAATATACAGCCTTGTGTTTCGGTAACCCATGTGATTAGATTACCCTTTGGGTTGTTTTTTTTTTATATATTTTTTTAATATTTTTATTTTATATATTTCAAAATTGGATTCTCTTTTCTTTCTCTATCGTATCTGACATGCAGCTTTTGGCGCCACATGCATTTGCCTCGTGATAATGTTATATCATATGTGTTGTTGGTTAAATTTTGAGTAGTGGTTAAATTTAATGGATGTGAGTCACATTCATGATACAAATTGAGCTTGGGAGTGTTAGAATTGATGTTCAGATTTTAAAATTTTGAAAGGAGAAGTTGTCTTTTAAGTGTTTGTTAAAAAAAAGAAGGTGTCTTTTAAGTGTAACTAAGTTTTTGAAATAAAGGGTTAATCACCTAGTTAGTCTGAAGAGTCCAAAAGGTGAAAATAAGTTGAGGTCATACCGAAGAATCAAATGATTGATTTCCTAATTGTTTTTAGTTAAACGATATGATTTTGTTACAAAAAGAGTTCTTGTCAGTGTTATATGATATAATTTTGTTACTATTGGTGTGGAAAAATAAATCGAGGATGTAGGGGTAAATAGTTCTTCTGATGTATTGGTACGAGTTTTCGATGCAGTGAAACGATAGTGAATATGTAAGGTTAGTATTTCAACGCACAAGTCGTTGAAGTCAAAGAAGTGCATATAAGTGAGAATGGATGAATAATACTTGTCGCAGAGTGTGGCAAAGCTTATATACGAGAGGCGATTAAAACTGCTTCTGCTTCACTCATTGTGAGATATAGGAGACTGTCTGATTAAATCTCACGGTTGATGATGGACAAACAGACTGAATCTGTTATGTAACTTTCTGGAGAGAGTCTATTTGTCTCCATTCCACTTTGAAAACATTCAAAACTAGATTGCTCAAATTGGATCGGTAGTATTAGATTGTTGGACCAACTCAATACAATTACACCTATGAGTCCTTACTATCATTTATGAAGCTATGATTATGATGAAAATCTTGAGACCGACCTTCCTAGCTATTTTGATGTGTTCAGTCGGTCCATATCGGAGCCGGAGAATAGAAGTAAGTGGTCTCAAATCCATATTAAATGTCTGTCTTGTAAGGACAACGTTTCACAATTAGTTTACTCCATGTGACCATAACCTCTAGCGTAATATCTTATATTCTCTTAAATTCTAAATTCTCTATTAAGTGAGACAAATTGAATAATTAGTGAGTTAATAAAAGATTAAGGTTTTAATCATATCTCTTAAACATGAAAGGAAAATTAGAAAAATTACAGAGAGTGACATTTTGGAGATTTGAAGGAATTGACAAGGTATAATGGTAATTGCTTAAATTGGATTCACTAAAAGACAAAGAAGATTACTGCATATCATCATCTACTCTTTTTTCATTCATTTTTTCTCATTTTGGCCAAAGTTAGTAAGAAAAGAGAGAAAGAAGAGAAAAGAGAGAAAGAAGAAGAAAATTCATGGAGAAAGAAGAAGAACTTGGAACAAAAATTGGAAATCAAAATCTTTATCTTACCTGATCTTAATTCATCATATTCTTCTTGATTAAGGTGGATTCTTAGTTAGTATAGCTTTTGGGGGAATTTTGTTAGAACAATATTTAGTTATGCAATTTTATCTATGAGCTTTGATGATAACAAAAAATGTGTTTGTAAGAAAAAATTTGGTACTCTAATGTGTGTTACTTGTTAGTATCTAACAAACAGGTTCTGCTTCTGATGAATGGCGTGACCAAGACATTAGAAGAGACAAGTTCTGCTTCTGCGTTACACATATTCTAATGAACAGTAGCAAGGCACTCCAAAAGACTCTGAAATATAGGCTTTGGTATGAAGTCTAAAGAAACCGGTCAAAAGATCTGAAGACAGAAGTTCTACTGAAGCCTAGATGCTAAAGATTCATGTTTCTGAAGACAACGTGTTCTAAAGAAATCATTCTGAAGATTCGAAGACAGAAGTTTCTACTGAAGTTCAGATTCATACTCATGTTTTTGAAGACAAAGGATTCTCAAAGATCAAGTGCTGAAGATTCTGAAGATGCATTTCTGAAGACTTGAAGTTCTGAAGACCCAAGGTTTTAGAAAAGGTTCTCAAGACCAAGTGCCGAAGACTCTGAAGACACAGTTCTGAAGACTCTGAAGACTTGAAGTTCAGATGACCTTAGTGTTATATTCTCTTTTCTAAGCTCATGCTCGCAGAAGTCTCTGAAGTACATAAGGAAAAAAGATAATGTTAATGTGGTACAATAGTATATGGTATAATCAAAATGTTTCATTTCACTACCATGAAGGACGGACGCGTCACACGATCCTGTCCCCTACATGATTCAAGCCGCCAAAGATTCTAGAAATCCCAAGAGTACCCCTCAACAAATATATTATTTTATTGGCTACATAAAGGACTTGAAGACTAAGAGAAAAAGCTGCTAAGTCACTGATTCATACTCTCGAAAGACTGTTCATACGCTTTTCATTTCTCTTTAGTCTGTATAGTTGTGAAACACTGTTTACATATTAGCTTGTTAAAAAGCACATCTTTTGTAAACAAACTTTGTTCAAACAGTTGTTTGATTTTCCTTAAGGGACCAGTTGATCAGAATCCTCGAGAAGTCTAAGATTAGTGTGTCTTAGAGGTTGTAATGTTAGTCACTTGCAGTTAGCTTGTGCATTATAATAATCTGTTTGATTATTGGATTAAGTCCTTGTTGAGAAAGGCGAAATCATCTTGGAGGGTGGACTAGATTAGCTTGATAATTTTCAAGTGAACTAGTATAAACATAACTTGTTCTTTCCTTCTTACATCTTATCATTATTATCACTAAGTGAAGTAACTTGTTATGATTTAAATGGGATTTTAAAAAAGAAAAGTTTTTTATTTAAAACTCAATTCAAACCCCCCATTTATTGTGTTTTACACACCTTCAATTGACATCATAGCTCCAGTTCTGAGGAGTTGATAAAAAGTTTGGATTTTTATCAAGCACCTAACAGTGTTCCATACCAATCTAAATTGTGTGAAAAACCAATGGTTACACCTGTTGCTACCACTGTTGATAATAGGGATAATGATAAAGACCATTATAGTGC